ATAAAAACTTCCCTACCTTTACCTAAACACTGTTCACATATATGCTTCCATGTAAACACTTGATCTGCACATCCCCTACCCACTCTAAAACCACCTTGCTCATCCACAATCCTACATTCTCTTATCTCTAATTCTTTCAATGATAACCTTACCATACACTTTTCCTGGTATACTCAGTAAACTTATTCCTCTATAATTTTTACAATCTCTTTTGTCCCCCTTCCCTTTATATAAAGGGACTATACATGCTCTCCGCCAATCCCTAGGTACCTCCCCCTCTTTCATACATTTATTAGACAAAAATACCAACCACTCCAACACTATATCCCCTCCTGCTTTTAACATTTCTCTCATTATCCCATCAGTTCCAGCTGCTTTACCCCCTTTCATTCTACATAATGCCTCACGCACCTCCCCCACACTCACATCCTGTTGTTCTTCACTCCTCAAAGATGGTATACCTCCCTGGCCAGTGCATGAAATTACCACCTCCCTTTCTTCGTCGTAATATGGAATAGTAAGTTTGAAACTCTAATCCGTACCTACTCTCTGCCTATTTGCTTGACACTTGTAGTGGGCTGAAGAATCATCTCTTGCCAATGTCCAGCAATAGTCTGCAAGCATTCTTGTGCCCCATTTGCCCTGGTACCATTTTACTATGGCTGAAATACAGGTACCATCTGACTTACGACCGAGTTTGGCGTAATGACAAGGTGGGTTTAGCAAACGAACACATGTGGTGTGAGAGGCACTTGCTATCCAGGAGGCCTACTTTCAAGGTGGGGTATACTCACATCTGTTTCATTGTTAATCTCGTGACTCCGGAGAATTTGTGAAAATTCACTATAAAACATTTCATTTGAGACTCCTCATGCGCACCTTTATTGCTCATGTATTTCAGCATTTCCTACTGCCATCTGTATGCTTCATCTTCAACAACTTGAGCACTAAAAGACCAGTAGGTGCTCAGGGTATATTGCTGAAGCAAAGAGGAAGAACAGTATTTTCTACACTAAATTAGACATTTTTCAGCTTGATGCTAGAGAGAAGCCATTTGACATGCAGCATGGCTTGGCTAAATCTGCTATACACACTATCCTCATGAAATGTAAGCCACTTGCTGAAAGTGCTGGTTGTGATTAATATAGCCTGTGTTTTAGGCTGAGGGACTGACCACCACATATCAAGACTGAGGGACTGATCACCTCACGATTACTTCTACTGTTGTTTTTGCCTATATTCAACTGGAGAAATCTGCTGAGCAAGTGAAACGTTTCAGCAATATAAAGATAATGAAGTGTTGCACATGCCTCTTATCAATTTTTTTAGTATTGTACTTTATCAATAATATGATAATGAATATGATACTTCATGCTGTTTGGCAACAGAGCCTTAAATATCTAAATTAATATATTGATAAATGGTTTCCCTATATCAAGACACATGGTGGGCAAATTTCTAGGTCTTCACCTTGATTGTAATCTTAAATTTCAGTCCCACACCCATCACATAGCCAATTAAATTTCCAAATCAGTAGGAATCTTTTCCAAGATACAATACTATGCACCACAAATGACACTCCTTACCCTGTACCCCACTCTAATATATCCTTGCCTCACCTATGGTATTTGTGCCTGGGGCTCAACTACAGTCAACCACCTTAGACCCTTAATAACCCAACAAAAAGTTGCTGTGTGGGTGATAACCAGCTCCTGTGCTAGACAGCACACCCCACCACTTTTCAGAAGACTCAGCTTGCTAAATATACAAGACATACACTCGTATTATTGTGCCTACTACATATACAGAACATTACACTCCACTGTAAACCCTCCCCTAAAACAACTACTTGACAGTTAAAACAGAATGCATAATCACAATACAAGGCATAATGCACTTTTCAACATCCTTCAAGTCAGTCTCTCTGCAAGAACTCTATGCACATAAAGGGCCCGAAGATCTGGAACTCGCTACCAGAACAGGTCAAGGATCTCCTGACAACTTACAAATTTAAGACATTGCTAAAAAATCATCTTTTCTCTCGGTATTAGCCAAATCAGCCAAAACATCTGCTAACTAGTTTTATTATGTGACATGTAGGCTTTTAATTCTGCCAATTCATAAAATCATCTCATCTCTCAGTATTAACCAAACACTGCTAATTAGTTTTATTATGTGACCTCTAGGCTTTTAATTCTGCCAGTCCATAAAATATTACCACCTGAACCATTACTTGTAATGTAGATTTTGTGTGCAATTTCAAGATTTTTACCAAACCCTACTCCACCTTACTAATAACAAAAAAAGGCACAATACCGTGACTGGAACAATACACAAATAACCCGCACATAGAAGAGAGGAGCTTACGACGACGTTTCGGTCCGACTTGGACCATTTACAAAGTCACACTAACCAGAAGTGGAGCACGACGGCTATATATAGGCAGGAAGAGGTAGTGGTGGTAGTAGTAGTAGTAGTAGTGGAAGTAGCAGCAGTAGTAGTAGTAGTAGTGGTAGTAGGGAACTAAGGAGGAGGAGCCAGTCAAATATAAAGACAGGGGAGCACTGCAAGGGAGCTAGGTGCCCACAGAGGGAGAGCAAGTGCACAGAGGTGGGGGGAAGGGGAAGTGATGAAATAAATAATGAAGAAATAGAAACACGCGACAGAAGAATAACAAAAAAAAAAAAAAGGAAAGGGGAAGAGTGAGAAGAAGAAAAAATGAGGAATCAGGTTAAGTCACGGGTGTTCTGAAGTTTGGAGCATTTTACAATGTAGTGGGAGAGGAAGGCATCTACAGAGACGAAGCCAGGGCTAAGATTCATACAAGGAAAGTTGTGTATTAGAGAGGATTCAACAAGATGGCGACTGTTAAAGTTGGAAGTAGGGAAGACAGTTTTAGCAGAAGACCAGTCTATAGGATGGCTGTGATCTCTGACGTGACAGAAAAAAGCATTGTTAGTGTCGGCAAGCCTAACACTATTTTTGTGCTCCCTAAGTCTGTCAGAAAGAGATCGACCAGTTTCTCCAAAGCATTGAAGAGGACAGGAGGAACAAGAAATAGAGTAGACACCAGGTCTTTCTAATCTCAACAATTCTCTCCGTCCCTTAGACATCAAGCTTACTTTCCTGCCAGACTAACACTATTCGCACTAATCTCGTTCATACCTCTCCTCCCTCTACAGATGTTCCTGGTGTCTACTCTATTTCTTGCTCCTCCTGTCCTCTTCAATACTTTGGAGAAACTGGTCGATCTCTTTCTGACAGACTTAGGGAGCACAAAAATAGTGTTAGGCTTGCCGACACTAACAATGCTTTTTTCTGTCACGTCAGAGATCACAGCCATCCTATAGACTGGTCTTCTGCTAAAACTGTCTTCCCTACTTCCAACTTTAACAGTCGCCGTCTTGTTGAATCCTCTCTAATACACAACTTTCCTTGTATGAATCTTAGTCCTGGCTTCGTCTCTGTAGATACCTTCCTCTCCCACTACATTGTAAAATGCTCCAAACTTCAGAACACCCGTGACTAAACCTGATTCCTCATTTTTTCATCTTCTGTCGCGTGTTTCTGTTTCTTCATTATTTATTTCATCACTTCCCCTTCCCCCCACCTCTGTGCACTTGCTCTCCCTCTGTGGGCACCTAGCTCCCTTGCAGTGCTCCCTGTCTTTATATTTGACTGGCTCCTCCTCCTTAGTTCCCTGCTGCTGCTGCTGCTGCTGCTGCCGCTGCCGCTGCCGCCGCCGCCGCCGCCGCCGCCGCCGCCGCCGCCGCCGCCGCCGCCGCCTCTACCTCTTCCTGTCTATATATAGCCGTCGTGCTTCACTTCTGGTTAGTGTGACTTTGTAAATGGTCCAAGTCGGACCGAAACATCGTCGTAAGCGCCTCTCTTCTATGTGCGGCTTATTTGTGTATCCACCTTACTACCTCACATTTGTATTAAGTTTAAATAAGATTCTAAAACTGTTAACCACTACTACTTGTCTAGTTTTAAGTATAGTTACTATGTATTATTATCTTGTCTAGTTTTAATTAGTTACTATGTATTAGGATTAGTCTGCCTAAAATGCCTTTGCATTATAATGGCTATCTCTGTATGTAGCAAATCAAAATTGTAATTACACATTGTAACCTTTACAAAGAAATAAACTTGACTTCAAAAAAAAAAAAGCTTTGGGTTTAGTGTCATGGAAATGGAATAGTGTTAGAAGTGGCATCCCAGTATGGATTGAGAACCAGACCCAGGAAAACATACCACAGCATGCACACCTTCAGTTGATACAGAGCAGTCCTGTACATTCAGGACACCTTCAGTGGATACAGAGTAGCCCTCTATATCCAGGTCACATTCAGTTGATACAGAGCAGCCCTTTACATCCAGGTCACTTACAGAGGAGCACTCTATGAGCTGTGTATTATGTAGCAGGAGCTCGAGTTTCAGTCCAGTATCCTCCAACATCATTCTCTCCTTATCTGGTTATTCTGATGGGAAAATCGATGATCCCCACCCCTCCTCCCCTGTTCTGTAATTCACTCATTTATAGATTCATTTATTTATTCATTCATTCACTCATTCCTTCATTTTTTTTGCAATTCTTATCCAGGTCCCTTTCTTCCACCCTCATACCTAACTTCCTTTATTCCTTCTTGCTTCAATATTTAATGAAACTGGCTTCATTGAAAACTACTATACCTCTTATACATAGTCTCTGGGATTTTAGGGAAAATTGGACTCAAGTCAGGGGCCACTGTACTTACTGTAGTAATGTAATGTGTGTTGCAGTGTTCTATTTACTATGCAAACAGCAGCTGCTTTATGCAAATGAAAACTGAACCAGTGTACAGAACTTTTCAATAAAGTTTTAAAGGATTTCTTAAATGCATCTGAATTTTTTTGTAGAATTTCTCTGTAAATGAAAAGATAATTTTTAGTTTCTTTAAAATTTTCTCAGTTTATTTTTTGCATTTTTTCAAGATGTTTTTACTAGGATTACTTAACAGGTAAACACTATCAACTGGAGTGACTATGCCAGTAGAACATTTACATTCATTGAGGGGCCCTTCATCATTGTTTCTCTGGCTGAAGATGATATCAAAGAAGACCCTAATCTTGCTTTTGAACTCATAATCCACAAAGAAGTCAATAGTTCGCGAAATGCTTATAGGTAATCATGTTTGTTATTAATTTTTATTTGATGTGTGGCAGGATTTAAGTTGTCTGTCAGATGCATCAGTTATATATTATGATATATATAAATTGCAATTCTTAAAAAAAAAAAAATGCTTCACCCATGAGTGTCATTCAGTTCCTTCAGTAGATGAAATATATCTACAGTACATTGTTTTCTGAAATCTGATAATGTACGTTTAATTAGAACTAGAGTTTATGTCTTGTAATTAGCCACTACACCTTTTTTTTCAGCCTTCTAAGAACATGCACAGAAAATGAGGCTAAGGGTGCTTATGAAGCTTACCAAAGAATCTTACTGCCACTAGTGGACTCTTGTGGGAAGGAAGTGCTTTCTCACAGTGTGCTGCAGAAAGTCCTTGATACTCATAGAGAACACCCATCTTGGCATGTGGCCCATATAACCGCACACTTCGCATTCCTGGAGGCCTTAAAGAATGAAGAAGTACTAAAGTAAGAAACAAGGGGCCAGCTAATTTAATCTTATTACCACACTCTCATCATATAACATAATTATTCAATAGTTATATATTTAATGTGAAAAAATATGGTATAAATGAATCCAAATGAAGAAACTATAACAGAGGATAAGAAGAGTACTGTATATTTTTGTCTCATACAGAGGCTCTTCAGAAAACTGAGAAAGTCCTTAGTATGCAGTTCATCTTACAACTTTTTTTTACTGTTTGGGAGAAAATGCAATCATTAAAGTAGTATGAGATGCCCCATGCTTCCAAACGTAAGCCACCTGTTTGTTTTAGTTTGTTATTTTAAGCTTATATATAAATATGAAGTAATATGTGTCAATCTAACCAAACCTAATTGAGAATATCCGTATTAAGTTTCATTAGTATGTTAGATCACTCAAAATTGAGCAATACAGCAATTTGGAGACCACTGCATGCTCTCCTGAAGAACAGGTTGCAGTGTGAGGCTGAAATATATAGCAGTCCCTTTACCTTCTGTTTTATTCTTTTCATGGCTAGTGTTTATTACCCTTTTCTACTTGTGTGATAATAAATATTCCTAGAGAGAAATTTTCCCCGTGAGAAACCCTCATATGCGAGTTTTTATTGGCAGGTACCTAAATGTACCTGATGAAACTGATGGCCTCTATCCCCTTCATGTTGCAATTGAAAATGAGAATGACAAGGTTATTGGGGCACTGGTAGCTGCAGGTGCAGCTTTAGATGTAACCGACAATAATGGTAACACTCCTGTACACATTGCTGCTTCAAAGTCTGTTGCAGTTATCCAGGTCAGTGTTCGTTATTGAAAGTCAGCATGTAATATTTTACTATCGCCAAAATCTATTTCTTCTTTCAACAAACTGGTTATATTCCATTGAGGCAGGGTATCCCAAAAGGAAAAACAAAGTTTCTCCTTTTAAATTTAGTAATATATAGAGAAGGGGTTACTAGCCCCTTGTTACTGGCATTTTAATCGCCTCTTACGACACACATGGCTTACAGGGGAAGGATTCCGTTCACTTCCCCATGGAGATAAGAGGAAATAAACAAGAACAAGAACTAGTAAGTAAATAGAAAAGAGACCCAGAGGGGTGTGTTTATATATGCTTGTACATGCATGTGTAGTGTAACCCAAGTGTAAGCAGAAGTAGCAAGACATACCTGAAATCTTGCATTTTTATGAGACAGAAAAAAGATGCCAGCAATCCTTCCATCATGTAAAACAATTACAGGGTTTCGTTTTACACTCACTTGGCAGGACGGTAGTACCTCCCTAGGTAGGTGCTATTTACTACAGGTCTGCCATCACAAATCTGGCATCATTGGGACCTGTATTGTGTCGGATTACTGAGTTTGCCAGATTACAGACTGGTTAGGTTAGAATACAGTGGACCCCCGCATAACGATCACCTCCGAATGCGACCAATTATGTAAGTGTATTTATGTAAGAGCGTTTGTACGTGTATGTTTGGGGGTCTGAAATGGACTAATCTACTTTACAATATTCCTTATGGGAACAAATTCGGTCAGTACTGGCACCTGAACATACTTCTGGAGTGAAAAAATATCGTTAACCGGGGGTCCACTGTACACTTTTTTTTTTTTCAACAAGTCGGCCGTCTCCCACCGAGGCAGGGTGACCCAAAAAGAAAGAAAAAATCCCCAAAAAGAAAATACTTTTATCATCATTCAACACTTTCACCTCACTCACACATAATCACTGTTTTTGCAGAGGTGCTCAGAACACAACAGCTTAGAAGCATATGCGCATAAAGATACACAGCCTATCCCACCAAACTGCCAATATCCTGAACCCCTCCTTTATATATACAGTGGACCCCCGCATAACGATATTAATCCGTTCCTGAGAGCTCATTGTTATGCGAAATTATCGTTATGCGAATGAATTTTCCCCATAAGAAATAATGGAAATCAAATTAATCCATGCAAGACACCCCAAAGTATGAAAAAAAAAATTTTACCACATGAAATATTAATTTTAATACACACAAACTGAAAAAGACATGCACAGTTACATGACACTTACCTTTATTGAAGTTCTGGTGATGATTGATGGGATGGGAGGAGGAGAGAGTCTTAGTGTTTAGAAGGGGAATCCCCTTCCATTAAGACTTGAGGTGTCAAGTCCTTTTCTGGGGTTACTTCCCTTCTTTTAATGCCACTAGGACCAGCTTCAGAGTCACTGGACTTCTGTCGCACAACATATCTGTCCATAGTGGCCTGTACCTCTCGTTCCTTTATGACTTTCCTAAAGTGTTTCACAACAGTGTCAGTGTAATAGTCACCAGCACGGCTTGCAATAGCTGTGTTAGGGTGATTGTCATCAAAAAAGGTTTGCACTTTAAGCCACATTCCACACATTTCCTTAATCTTTGAAGTAGGCAACTTCTTCAATTTCTCTCTCCCCTCCGAAGCAGTTTCCTCAGGTCTGGCCTCTTGCTGTTGAAGTTGATCTAGCAGCTCATCAGTGGTTAGTTCTTCATTGTCCTCCTCCACCAACTCTTCCACATCATCCCCACTAACCTCCAACCCCAAGGACTTTCCCAATGCCACAATGGATTCCTCAACTGGCATAGGATTCCTAGGGTTAGCCTCAAACCCTTCAGAATCCCTTTGGTCTACACATTCTGGCCACAGTTTCTTCCAAGCAGAGTTCAAGGTCCTCTTAGTCACTCCCTCCCAAGCCTTACCTATAAGGTTTACACAATTGAGGATATTAAAGTGATCTCTCCAAAACTCTCTTAGAGTCAATTGAGTTTCTGAGGTCACTACAAAGCACCTTTCAAACAGAGCTTTTGTGTACAGTTTTTTGAAGTTTGCAATGACCTGCTGGTCCATGGCTGCAGGAGAGGATGGTATTAGGAGGCAAAAACTTCACCTTAATGAAGCTCATGTCCCCATAAAGTCGCTCTGCCACGTCTGTAGGATGACCAGGGGCATTGTCTAACACCAGGAGGCACTTAAGGTCTAATTTCTTTTCAGTTAGGTAATCTTTCACATTGGGGGCAAATGCTTGGTATAACCAGTCATAGAAAAAGTCCCTAGTGACCCATGCCTTACTGTTTGCCCTCCACAGCACACAAATTAGCCTTGAGGATATTCTTTTGCCTGAACGCTCTGGGAGTTTCTGAGTGATACACTAATAAAGGCTTCACTTTGCAATCACCACTAGCATTGGAACACATCAACAGAGTAAGCCTGTCTTTTATAGGCTTATGTCCTGGGAGTGCCTTTTCCTCCTGAGTAATGTAGGTCCTGCTTGGCATTTTCTTCCAAAACAGGCCTGTTTCATCACAATTAAACACTTGTTCAGGTTTCAGTCCTTCAGTGTCTATGTACTCCTTGAATTCCTGCACATATTTTTCAGCTGCTTTGTGGTCCGAACTGGCAGCCTCACCATGCCTTATCACACTATGTATGCCACTACGCTTCTTAAATCTCTCAAACCAACCTTTGCTGGCCTTAAATTCACTCTCATCATCACTAGTTGCAGGCATTTTTTTAATTAAATCCTCATGCAACTTCCTAGCCTTTTCACTTACGATCACTTGAGAGATGCTCTCTCCTGCTATCTGTTTTTCATTTATCCACACCAATAAGAGTCTCTCAACATCTTCCATCACTTGCGATCTCTGTTTCGAAAACACAGTTGAACCTTTGGCAAGAACAGCTTCCTTGATTGCCATTTTGTTGGACACAATAGTAGCGATGGTTGATTGGGGTTTACTATACAACCTGGCCAGCTCGGAGACACGCACTCCACTTTCATACTTAGCAATGATCTCTTTCTTCATCTCTATAGTAATTCTCACCCTTATTCCTGTAGATACACAAACAACCCGCACACAAAAGACAGAAGCTCACGACGACGTTTCGGTCCGACTTGGACCATTGACAAAGTCACACTAACAGAGGAGGAGCAGAACGGCTATATATAGGCAGGAAGAGGTGGAGGTAGTAGTAGTGGTAGTAGTAGTAGTAGTAGTAGTAGTAGTAGTAGTAGTAGTACTACTACTACTACTACCACTACTACTACCTCCACCTCTTCCTGCCTATATATAGCCGTTCTGCTCCTCCTCTGTTAGTGTGACTTTGTCAATGGTCCAAGTCGGACCGAAACGTCGTCGTGAGCTTCTGTCTTTTGTGTGCGGGTTGTTTGTGTATCGTTCCAGTCACGGTATTGTGCCTTTTTGTTATTTATTCCTGTAGGGTTGGCACTAGAAGCTTTCTTGGGGCCCATGGTCACTTATTTTGCAGATAAAATCACCAAAAACACTGTGATAATACGAAATGTTCCGATTGTATGCTTGGATGTTACCGCGGAGGCTGGCTGGTAAACAATGCCACTGGCGGAACATGTGAGGCTGGCTCAGGCCGCACATTAGACGCGTCTCGGACTAATAGTGTTGAGCGGGTTTTTTAGCGGTATGCGAGGCAAAATCTTAGTGATAAAATGTATCGGTATGCGGATTTAACGTTATGTGATGCCAACGGTATGCGGGGGTCCACTGTATATACAGGTCCGCCATCACAAATCCGGCAATCAGTTATTCGGTTCCTTCAGTTATTCGGCACTAATTTTGGCTAGCATAATTTCAAATTTTCAGGGTTGCCACAACAACCTGCTGGTACTGTTTGGTGGTGCTACTTGCTGCATAAGTCATTCCAAATTCTTTTTCTCCATTTATTGTTATAATCTGCTTACTTTTAGCCCTAGACATGGTTCCAATGAATAAAAGAAATGCTTCTCATTATGTAAAGCACCGACACAGTACATTATCCATTAAAGATAAGGTGGCTTTGAAGCCACTGTCGGTTGCCATGAGCTCAGTCTCATGATGGCAGGAAGGCGGGGTAGGGGTCATCCTCGAAAAGGTTGGAAGGAAGGGGTAAAGGTTTTGTGGGCAAGGGGCTTGGACTTCCAGCAAGCGTGCGTGAGCATGCTCAATAGGAGTGAATGGAGACGAATGGTATTTGGGACCTGATGAGCTGTTGGAGTGTAAGCAGGGTAATATTTAGTGAAGGGATTCAGGGAAACAGTTATTTTTATATAACCGGAAATGGGAAGTACAATGCCTGCACTTTAAAGGAGGGGTTTGGGATATTGGCAGTTTGGAGGGATATGTTGTGTATTTTTATACGTTTATAATGATTCTAAACTGTTGTATTCTGAGCACCTCTGCAAAAACAGTGATTATGACAAAGAGAATGACTTACTGACAAAGAGAATGAAATGTGCTCAATTTTAAATAATTATTTTCTCTCGGTTTTTACACAGGAAGACACTAACAATATTCCAGTAATTAATTTTTATAGTGGGCTAGAAGAAGATAAATTATGTAACATCACAGTCACTAGTGAAATGGTTGTGAAGCAGATAGACAGACTGAAGCAAAATAAGTCGCCGGGTCCTGATGAGGTTTTTTCAAGGGTTCTTAAGGAATGCAAAATGGAACTTTGTGAACCATTAACTAATATTTTTAATTTATCTCTTCAAACAAGTGTAGTGTCTGATATGTGGAAGATGGCTAATGTAATTCCTATTTTTTAAACGGGACAAGTCGTTACCGTCAAATTACCGCCCAATAAGCCTGACCTCAATTGTAGGCAAATTACTAGAGTCAATTATAGCTGAGATTATAAGAAGCCATCTCGATAAGCATAGCTTGATTAATGATACTCAGCATGGATTCACAAGAGGCCGGTCTTGTCTAACTTATTTATTAACTTTCTTCAGTAAAGCTTTTGAGGCTGTTGACCACGATAAAGAGTTTGATACTATTTACTTAGATTTTAGTAAGGCTTTTGATAGAGTTCCGCACCAAAGACTGTTAAAGAAAGTGGCAGCTCATGGCATTGGGGGAAAAGTGCTCTCATGGATCGAGTCATGGCTCACAGACAGGAAGCAGAGTGTGTCCATAAATGGGGTTAAATCCGAGTGGGGATCTGTAACAAGTGGCGTTCCACAGGGGTCAGTCTTGGGCCCGTTGTTGTTTATAATATATATCAATGACCTTGATGAGGGAATTACTAGTGATATGAGCAAATTCGCTGATGACACAAAGATAGGTAGGATAATTGATTCAAACGTAGACGTTAGGGAACTTCAGGAGGATTTAAACAAACTATATTCTTGGTCAGAAAAGTGGCAGATGCAGTTCAATGTAGATAAATGCAAGGTTCTGAAGCTCGGGAGTGTCCATAATCCTAGCACTTATAAGTTAAATGATGTAGAACTTAGCCATACAGATTGCGAAAAGGACTTGGGGGTTATGGTGAGCAGCAACCTTAAACCAAGACAGCAATGCCTAAGCGTACGTAATAAGGCAAATAGATTACTGGGATTTATATCAAGAAGTGTAAGCAACAGAAGTCCAGAGGTCATACTGCAGCTTTATACATCATTAGTAAGGCCTCACCTAGATTATGCAGCTCAATTCTGGTCTCCATATTACAGAATGGACATAAATTCGTTAGAAAACATTCAGCGTAGGATGACTAAATTAATACATAGCATTAGAAATCTTCCTTATGAAGAAAGATTGAAGACTCTTAAGTTACATTCACTTGTTAGACGAAGAATGAGGGGAGACCTGATGGAAGTGTAAGTGGAAGATAGGTATTAATAAAGGGGATATTAATAAGGTCTTGAGGATATCTCTCCAAGAGAGAACCCACAGTAATGGATTTAAATTAGATAAGTTTAGATTTAGAAAGGACACAGGAAAGTATTGGTTTGGAAATAGGGTAGTTGATGAGTGGAACAGTCTACCTAGTTGGGTTATTGAGGCTAGGACTTTGGGTAGTTTCAAATTTAGGTTGGATAAGTACATGAGTGGGAGGGGTTGGATTTGAGTGGGACTTGCACATCAGAGCTTATTTCTTGGGTAGCATTGAAAATTGGGTTGGTCAAATGTTTTGTTAGTGGGATGAATTGTAAAGGACCTGCCTAGTATGGGCCAACAGGCCTACTGCAGTGTTCCTCCTTTCTTATGTTCTTATTATGTGTGAGTGAGGTGAAAGTGTTGAATGATGATGAAAGTATTTTCTTTTTGGGGATTTTGTTTCTTTTTGGGTCACCCTGCCTCGGTGGGAGACGGCCGACTTGTTAAAAAAAAAAATGAATAAAATAATCAAATATTACATGTCTCGTATCTTTAAACCTATTGCCAGTAAGCACTTTTCAAGGTAATATTTGGATTCAGGACATGAAAATACATAAGAATTAACTAATCTCATTTATGAAGCATACAACTTTTCAAAAATTGTTGACCAGTGATAATCACTGTCTGCAGAGGCATTCAGATACGACAGTTTAGATGTCACTTCAAGCAGCATTGTACTTCCCACCTCCAGGACTCAAGTCCTGCTAACCAGTTTCCCTGAATCCCTTCACAAATTACCCTGATCACACTCCAGCAATAAATAATAATAAATAATAATAATAATAATAATAATAATAATAATAATAGTCCTTTTGCAAGAGGAAAGAAGAGCATGCATCTCCTTTCTTCACATTCACTAGTACATTTCACCATCTTGGCAGATCTACTGTCTCACCACCTTCCTAGTTTGCATGAGTGGAGCCTTAACTGGACATTCTTGGTTTTGTGGTGGAGCACTTGGGTGCTGTCAGCAGGATGTTGTTGCCACACATATCAATCACAAGCTTCTGGTCCTTGTTTCACCATTCTTGGACTGGTTGGTGGCCACAATAAATGCTATATTCATACATTTCTTGAATGCACATCCACTGCATCCTCATTGCTCCACAGTGTTCTCTTTCAGCCTTGTTTCCAAACCTTGATGAAAATGGTACAGGACGTAGTTCGTCTTCAATATAGACTATTTCTGTGCTATGCCTCGGAGGATGGCCCACTCCTGGCACCAATACTGTTGCCTTCAGCTCTTCATGCATAATTATTTTGAGAGCCTTGTCTCCATCCATATCCAGACTCAGAATTTAAGCAAGGTTTCTGGATATTTGGCCTCAATGGGTATGTCAGGATAGTACGATTGTCTGTAGGTGTGTAAGTCTTTTCCTGACTGAGGCACTGACATCACTATCAGAGGTAGTTTATTAAATGCTTAATCCATCTTTGCTTTATGATGGAAATGGATGTCCCTCACTAATGCCCCTGGAAACTTCAGGGTATCTAACAGTATTGAGTTGTCTGGCCCCATTGTAACCTAGTGTCTTCTGTATGGGGACATCACCATGGTGACTTCTGTTGCTTCTAACCTGTTTTGTCTTCTAGGGTGTGTCAGGTGTTTTTCCTGGTTCCAGTTTCTGGGTGATTGAAAGGTCCCCTTTTGTGGTGAGATCTTGTCCTCCCAACTTAGCCTGCTTCTTTAGGGTCATGGATGCAAGGTGTGAATGCAGTGTTTAGGTGCATTGATATGACTGCAACAGTCAGTCTTTCTGACTAATTCGAGATTACTGCAAATGACTTTTAAGATCAGGCATTGGCCTTTACTCGTGGCATCCAAGAAAATGGACCTACCCTTCCATTCCTTGGATCAAACCCGAATGCCTCCCATTAATCTTACATGCACTGTATGATCCCTATGAGTTTAGTGCTCCCCATAAAGGTACAGTAGTAATAATTTGCTCATGACAAGCAAGAAGAGATACTCTGCAAGTATGCTTGAACCATTGAGCTCATTTACCATTCTGGCCATCAATGCAGGCTGAGAGTTCCTGTCTTGTTGAGTAATAGTCTGGATTTCCACCTCCATTCAGTAGCTGCCTCCATAATGTCCTGGGTTCTGGTGGTACAGTTCTAGTGGACCATCAGGGCCTGACATTAGAATAAATCAGTTTGAAGTATAAAAAATGCATTTTGCAGATGACATTACTCTTCTGAGATTTGGAATGGTAGAGTTTGAAAGGATGCATAAAAGAGGGAAGTTGAAAGTGAATGCAAAGAACAACAAGGTGATGAAAATTATTTATAAGAAATGAGGGGTGGAGCTCACATTGTAAGGAAGTATGAAGAAAGTGAATATGTATACAGAATGGATATATCAGTAGATGGGTTTATAAACACTAGAAAGTTGCACAAGTGTTAATGACTGAGAAGAAAGAAGTTTGTCTGGGGAAGCAAAACGGCAGATATAATAAGAGTGTAGCAGTTCTGACACTGCATAGTTTAAGATGTAAATTTATAAATTACCTGTGCTCTATTAAAACAGTACCTATTTTTCAGGCACTAAAAGTGAAGCATCATCCTGTATTAAATAAGAAAAACCATGCACAAGAGACCCCATTACTTATAGCTGCACAGTACAGTAAATTAGAAAACATTAAGTGTCTCATTCAGCTTGGGACTAACATCAATCACAGGGAAGAAGTACTTAATAGTGTGGACAATCACTCATACTGGGAGAAAGTTGACAAACTTGTGTTGTCAAAAGAAATTAGTTCCAAGGTATAGTGTTAACTCTTCATGTGTTGTTTTATCATCTGTTGACATTTCTTAGCATTATTGGGTTTATATATACAATGGTCCCTTGAGTTATGATGATCTTGAGTTATGATAATTTTAAGTTGTAATTTACCCTCATAAATGAATTTGTTTTGAGTTGTGATGAAGAATTTGAGATACAATATGTGATACACATATGATGGTTAGTGCATGTGGGCGAGCCTTCCAGAGGAAACTGGACAAGTATCTTCACCAGGTGCCAGATCAACCAGGCTATGATGGATATGTGGGGCAGTGGGCCACCAGCAGCAACAGCCTGGTTGACCAGGCAAGTACCAGACGAGCCTGGCCCATGGCCAGGCTCTGAGACAAGACAAGGTGATGAAAAGGTCTTAAATGGAGTGATGGTAGAGGGAGTGATAGAGGTAAGTGTGAGGGAGGGCAAGAGGGTCAAAAGGAGGAAGGCAAGCAGAGGGAGGGAGGGAGAGGGGTAGGTGTTCCAGGTGTGTGGGGGGGGGGGGTGAGATTGGGACAAGAGTAAATATTAAACTTGCAATTCTTTACCATTTTCTGCCTACCTGCTGCCTTCCTGCTTTCTGCATGCCTACCTGCCCAACTATCCTGCTCTGCCTGCTCTAGCCTGACCTGCCTGTTCTGGCCTGCCCTGCCTGCCTGCTTGCTCTGGGCTGTCTTGCCTTGTCTGCTCTGGGCTGTCTTGCCTTGTCTGCTCTGGCCTGTCTGCCTTGTCTGTTCTGGTCTTTCCTGCCTTGTCTGCTCTGGTCTATCCTGCCTAGCTTGTTGCGAAAAATATTTCTATCCTGCCTAGCTTGTTGCGAAAAATATTCAAGGGCAGGTTGGGTGTTAGTGTCTTGGAATGAGTTGCCATAAAACCATGCATTTTTGGGTTTGAAGTATGATAATCTTTAGATATAGTACATCTTCTGGAATGGTTTATTATCGTAACTTAAAGGACCAGTTGTGAATAAAAATTTCATCCAGATATTTTGTTAAGTATACTTTTCTAATAAGCTTAAATATCTAATAAATTTAAAACTTTTTTTTTGTTATTATTATTTTATTATCACACTGGCTGATTCCCACCAAGGCAGGGTGGCCCGAAAAAGAAAAACTTTCACCATCATTCACTCCATCACTGTCTTGCCAGAAGGGTGCTTTACACTACAGTTTTTAAACTGCAACATTAACACCCCTCCTTCAGAGTGCAGGCACTGTACTTCCCATCTCCAGGACTCAAGTCCGGCCTGCCGGTTTCCCTGAATCCCTTCATAAATGTTACTTTGCTCACACTCCAACAGCACGTCAAGTATTAAAAACCATTTGTCTCCATTCACTCCTATCAAACACGCTCACGCATGCCTGCTGGAAGTCCAAGCCCCTCGCACACAAAACCTCCTTTACCCCCTCCCTCCAACCCTTCCTAGGCCGACCCCTACCCCGCCTTCCTTCCACTACAGACTGATACACTCTTGAAGTCATTCTGTTTCGCTCCATTCTCTCTACATGTCCGAACCACCTCAACAACCCTTCCTCAGCCCTCTGGACAACAGTTTTGGTAATCCCGCACCTCCTCCTAACTTCCAAACTACGAATTCTCTGCATTATATTCACACCACACATTGCCCTCAGACATGACATCTCCACTGCCTCCAGCCTTCTCCTCGCTGCAACATTCATCACCCACGCTTCACACCCATATAAGAGCGTTGGTAAAACTATACTCTCATACATTCCCCTCTTTGCCTCCAAGGACAAAGTTCTTTGTCTCCACAGACTCCTAAGTGCACCACTCACTCTTTTTCCCTCATCAATTCTATGATTCACCTCATCTTTCATAGACCCATCCGCTGACACGTCCACTCCCAAATATCTGAATACGTTCACCTCCTCCATACTCTCTCCCTCCAATCTGATATTCAATCTTTCATCACCTAATCTTTTTGTTATCCTCATAACCTTACTCTTTCCTGTATTCACCTTTAATTTTCTTCTTTTGCACACCCTACCAAATTCATCCACCAATCTCTGCAACTTCTCTTCAGAATCTCCCAAGAGCACAGTGTCATCAGCAAAGAGCAGCTGTGACAACTCCCACTTTGTGTGTGATTCTTTATCTTTTAACTCCACGCCTCTTGCCAAGACCCTCGCATTTACTTCTCTTACAACCCCATCTATAAATATATTAAACAACCACGGTGACATCACACATCCTTGTCTAAGGCCTACTTTTACTGGGAAAAAATTTCCCTCTTTCCTACATACTCTAACTTGAGCCTCACTATCCTCGTAAAAACTCTTCACTGCTTTCAGTAACCTACCTCCTACACCATACACTTGCAACATCTGCCACATTGCCCCCCTATCCACCCTGTCATACGCCTTTTCCAAATCCATAAATGCCACAAAGACCTCTTTAGCCTTATCTAAATACTGTTCACTTATATGTTTCACTGTAAACACCTGGTCCACACACCCCCTACCTTTCCTAAAGCCTCCTTGTTCATCTGCTATCCTATTCTCCGTCTTACTCTTAATTCTTTCAATTATAACTCTACCATACACTTTACCAGGTACACTCAACAGACTTATCCCCCTATAATTTTTGCACTCTCTTTTATCCCCTTTGCCTTTATACAAAGGAACTATTGATATAATAAACCTTATACTTTTGATAGGATCTACACAAAGGTGGAAGTTTGCTACATTGGGTAAAAACCAGGGAACTCATGGACTTATGCCTTGACATGGATTGTGATGCTGACCTCAAGAATAATGCCAATCAAACACCGTTACATGTTCTGGTAAGAGTTATTCATACTTTGCATTTTTTTTAAATGGCAAAAGGTGCATGTATTGTTTACTAACTTTTTCATTAAAGAAATTTTTCATGGAAAATTTCAGTCTGATTTTCTTATACAGTATTTTAACCTTCAAAGTTTTAATCTCAGTGTTTTCAGCAAAATGGGATACTGCCTCAAGGGGATCTACTTGTTACCTATTCTACCTATTATTGTTTTTGGAATATTACTCCAACGAATTGGAGCCATCCTCCCCTTCCTCAGATCAAACCCTTTTTTTTTCTCCTATTCCCTAGGGGCTGGCATAAATTCCAGCACCTTCAAATCAAGTAGGAAAAAGCTGTTAGACCTACACATGATAGAATGGGTCTGTGTGGTTAGTGTGCGCAGTAGGAAAAATCTAAGCACCTGCATTACATTGTGGGAGTGGTAATTCAGTGTAAGTAAGTAGGTTTATTCAGGTGTGTTGCAAACCCAGAAAGAAACAAAGAGAGGTGGTTGACTGACCACTTGGGTGCTGCTGTGGTTGTTACCTGTCAGTACCCTGTGTGACGTCAGCACACCCAATGTAGGGGGCTGCTCAGCCGGCCTCAGTGTCAGAGTGTATTCACCACTGAGCGTGTTCACAACCGCTCACTGAGCCTGACGGTCTCAGAGTGTGTTCACCACTGAGTGTGTTCACCACTGCTTGACACACACAAGCTGGACTTGGTTTCCTGCTGGCTGTCCCACGACGTTGTGAAGACACAGTCGAGGTAGTGTCGTGTAAAGACACAGTTGAGGTAGTGTCATGTGAAGACACAGCTGAGGTAGTGTCGTGTGAAGACACAGCCGAGGTAGTGTCGTGTGAAGACACAGCCGAGGTAGTGTCGTGTAAAGAAACAGTCGAGGTAGTGTCGTGTGAAGACACAGTCTAGGTAGTGTCATGTGAAGAGACAGGCGAGGTAGTGTCATGTGAAGACAGTCAAGGTGTCATGTGTGACACAGACAGTAATGTTAATAACCCAGGTGAAGTGTGTAACACAAATCATATGTCATTAGCAAGGTGTCATGCAACCCTGTACAAAAGGTAGTATCTCGTGACACAGAGAAGGAGTATCATGACACAGAACAGGGTGTCGAGTGACACGGAGAGAAGGCGTGTCGTGTAGTACAGAGTAAAGGGTGTCTTGTGACACGGAGAGGAGTGTCGTAACACAGAGACAAGGGTGTCTTACGACATGGAGTAGTAGGTGTGTCATGACACTTAGGGAAAGGTAGTGTCATGTGACATGGGGTAGGTAGGGTCGGGTCATGACTACATTGTTAGTGTAATGTGATATTAATGCCAAAGAATACACTCTTATTTTATTATATTTCTGTGTGAATCAAATAATACTCTTTTATGTTAAAGAATAATTTTACTAGTAAAGATTAAAAAGTATTGTATGTGTTTTTCTACTCCGGACTATATTGCTTATTGCAGGTTTGGTAATGGGCTAGTTTATTAATTATACTATAGGCCGATTAGTTGCTTCCCCTAGAAGCTCCATTGCCAAATTTATAACATTGTATTAAGGTATACACAAATACAGTTACATAGGTTATCATACATAATAGCATATGTGTAGAGAACCTAGGATAACCCAGAAAAAGTCACTTATTTTCATTGGGGTGCGCCTTTGTCACCAAGCCAAGCGGTAAGGAAGACCTCACTCTTCCTCAAATTGAGACTGATCTCTTTCCAAGTGATAGTTCTAACACAGATTGAAGTGTCACTGAAGATGGGGAAGGCAGTGTGAATTTGTGTAAACAACATTGGCTGGGTGGCTGGCTTGCTGGCTGGTCAGGTGGCTGGCAGGCTGGCTGTCTGTCTCACAGGTACACATAAATACAATTATACATAGTGTAAATTACCTAGAATAACCCCAAAAATCCAGATTGGCAGATAATGGTATCAGGACTCAGATGTGACGCACTGCGTCGTGTGTAATACATGTTGGTTCACTAGTGGCTCTCTCTGAGACAGAGACAGAAAGAGAGGCAAGCAGAGACAGACAGACATGTTTGTGTAAAGTGAAAACAAATAAAGTGAAGGCAGTGTACCCTCATCAGATGTCACCACTATCATTAGTGGAGTGATAAGACGACGCTCATCAAATGTCACCACTGTCATTAGTGGAGTGACAAGAGACCCTTATCAAATGTCACCACTGTCATTAGTGGAGTGACATGATAGGATGAGTGACAAACACACTTACACCATGCTTCAATTATTTATTTTTTTTTTAACAAGTTGGCCGTCTCCTACAAAGGTAGGGTGACCCAAAAAGAAAGAAAATCCCCAAAAAGAAAATATTTTGATCATCATACAACACTTTCACCTCACACATAATCACTGTTTTTGCAGAGGTCCTCAGAATACAACAGTTTAGAAGTATATACGTATAAAGATACACAACATATCCCTCCAAACTGCCAATATCCCAAACCCCTCCTTTAAAGTGCAGGCATTGTACTTCCCATTTCCAGGACTCAAGTCCTGCTATATAAAATAACAGGTTTCCCTGAATCCCTTCACTAAATATTACCCTGCTCACACTCCAACAGATTGTCAGGTCCCAAATACCATTCATCTCCATTCACTCCTGTCTAACACACTCGCACACATTTGCTGGAAGTCCAAGCCCCTTGCCCACAAAACCTCCTTTACCCCCTCCCTCCAACCTTTTCGAGGACAACCCCTACCCCGCCTTCCTTCCCCTACCCCGCCTTCCTTCCCCTACAGATTTATATACACTCCAAGTCATTCTACTTTGATCCATTCTCTCTAAATGACCAAAGCACCTCAACAACCCCTCTTCAGCCTTCTGACTTTTATTAACTCCACACCTTCTCCTAATTTCCACACTTCGAATTTTCTGCGTAATATTTACACCACACATTGCCCTTAGACAGGACATCTCCACTGCCTTCGACTGCCTCCTCGCTGCAGCATTTACAATCCAAGCTTCACACCCATATAAGAGTGTTGGTACTACTATACTTTCATGCATTCCCTTCTTTGCCTCCATAGATAACATTTTTTGTCTCCACATATACCTCAGTGCACCACTCACCTTTTTTCCTTCATCAGTTCTGTGATTAACCTCATCCTTCATAAATCCATCCGCCGACACGTCAACTCCCAATTATCTGAAAATATTCACTTCTTCCATACTCCTCTTTCCCAATTTGATATCCAATTTTTCTTTATCTAAATCATTTTTATTATTATTATTATTATTATTATTATTATTATTATTATTATTATTATTATTTCAACAAACCAGCCGTATCCCACCAAGGCAGGGTGGCCCAAAAAGAAAAACGAAAGTTTCTCTTTTTAAATTTAGGAATTTATACAAGAGAAGGGGTAACTAGCCCCTTGCCCCCGGCATTTTAGTCGCCTCTTACAACACGCATGGCTTACAGAGGAAGAATTCTGTTCCACTTCTCCATGGAGATAAGAGGAAATAAACAAGAACAAGAACTAGAAAGAAAATAGCAGAAAACCCAGAGGGTTGTGTGTATATATGCTTGTACATGTATGTGTAGTGTGACCTAAGTGTAAGTAGAAGTAGGAAGACGTACCTGAAATCTTACATGTTTATGAGACAGAAAAAAGGACACCAGCAATCCTACCATCATGTAACACAATTACAGGCTTTCGTTTTACACTCGCTTGGCAGGACGGTAGTACCTCCCTGAGCGGTTGCTGTCTTCCATTATTATTATTATTATTATTATTATTATTATTATTATTATTATTATTATTATTATTATTATTATATTCTCCCGTGTATCCTAGGTACTTTACACAATGTATAATTGTATTTATGTGTACCTCAGAGACAAAACTGGCCAGCCAGCCAGCTGGTCTGCCGGCCAGCCAGCCAGCTAGCCAGCTGGTCAGCAGGCCAGCCAGCCGGTCAGCAGGCCAGCCGGCCAGCCGGCTGGCCAGCCAGCCAGCCGTTATTTCGTCTAAACATTTATTTATTTATTTATTTATTTATTTAGTAATTTAAGCATACAAACAGAGGTACAAAAAATACAGGTAAGAGCAGCATGCCAAAGCCATTTATATGCATAGCATTACGGGCTGGCTTAAAATTAACTTAAGATTAACTAGGCAATGATGAAATCAGTGATAAAACATTATTGTAAACAGATAACTATAAAGCACAAATGAGTATTTCAAAGACAGGTCATATGGTTGCTTGCATTGCTGTACATTCAGTCGAATGGAGTATTCTGTTAGGTAGTGTATTTAAAAAAATAATAAAGTTAGATTGGGTTCTAGGTTTAACATTTGTGTGATATAGTTGTGAGTAACATATAGGATATACAATTTATAAGGTTCAGTTATTCAGTATTTATTTGGTTTTGAGTGAGTAAGTGATCTTTGAGAAGAGACTTGAATTATAAACAGGTAGTGTTTCTTTTATATTTACAGGTAATGAATTCCAGATTTTAGGGCCTTTTATGTGCATTGAGTTTTTGCATAGCGTGAGATGGACACAAGGAACATCAAAGAGTGATCTGTGCCTTGTGTTATGGTCATGTGTTCTGTTGAGGTTGGCAAGGAGATGTTTGAGGGGAGGGTTAATATCAGAGTTTAAGTGTTCTATGTATATAATAGGTGCAATAATAAGTATGGATGTTTTGTATGGTGAGTAGGTTGAGTGCTTTGAATATTGGTGGAGTGTGTTGCCTGTAGTGAGAATTTGTTATCATTCTAACTGCAGCCCTTTGTTGAGTAATTAGTGGTCTGAGATGGTTTAATTGTTGTTGAGGCCCCATGCACAAATTCCATAGGTGAGATAGGGGTAAATAAGAGAGTGATAAAGGGCCAGGAGGGCTGACTGTGGAACATAGTACCGTATCTTCGATAGTATGCCTACAGTCTTGGAGATTTTCTTAGAAATTTGTTGTATATGTGTATGAATTTGAGTCTTTTATCGAGGTGGATTCCTAGGAATTTT